CGTTTGGCAGCTTTTTTAATATCCTGTGATCTGTTACGGAATCTCTGTGTGTGTGTGCAGGAGGAAACAAGGAGACAGTAGGCAGGCTCAATTCCGAAAAGTATGACCCTACAGAAGACACGTGGACCGAGATCCCTTGCATGCGCGTTCTACTCAATATGTTCAACGCAGAAGTCATCGACGATAGGATCTTTGTCATCAGTGAATGTTATGACAAGAAGGTCGCGTGTTTCGATGACAAGGAAAATCAATGGTTTGTTTCTTTCCTTGATTGTTCAAGACTGTATAATCACAAACAGTTACTTTCGAAAATCACTTGGATGTGAACCGGTTCCGGTCGACATAACTGCGATCTTGTAGTGTCATAGAAGCTGACCGACGTTTCTCAGGGCCTTGAATACAAAGCGCGAAAAATGGGTGTAAGGAGGGGGATAGAATTAAAGCAGACGTTGCGGTCAAGCTGAATCGTTAAAGCAGAGGGCGAATGACTAGGAAATGCTAATCAGACGTAAACTGTAACTGCATTAATAAGAAGCTCTTTGACTAAGTTTCTTTGATCAGTGGTGCTCTCTTGGGCTGGAAGTTTCTGGCGTTCAGCACATCAGCATCGCCATAATCTCCGGCTTTCATCAAAGTGTTAGGCCAGTTTCAGGTTTAACGACGCCTATCAGACTCATGTTCCCATTTTTCATGGATGTTTACTTGGAAATGGCTGTCTCTTGGCGTGTTTGACCACGCAGTCTCCTGCCATCTGTTGACGGAGTGAGTAAGCAGGTCCAAAAATACCCCAGAAGACAGATTTCTTTATATTTGTTTGTGGAAGAGCCAGAAATCCCACAGAAATTCGTTTCATTTTGGTTTTTGTCTGTTTTACGTCCAGCAGAACCTCTCCAGATTTATTTTTTGGTGGGACAATTTTTTTTTTTTTGAAAATCTATTGCTAAAAGAGGGAAATATTGTCTCGGGCGCATGTCTCAAACAAGACACGCGTATCTCTCCAAAGAAAGTGTGTGATTAAATTTATTATTCTGACCGAAGGTAATGGCTTAATGAAGTTTACTAAAGGCAGATAGCGCAGAACACAAGTCATTTGACTGCGTTTTAATACACACATAACCTCTCCCTCCAATTTTATGTAATAAAATGTATTACGTTATAATAGCGCGTTGGCCGGGTTTCTATGTGCATCTGAGTAAAACAAAGATCACGTGGGAACTGTTCTGAAATGTGGTGTGGCAATCGTGCATTGAATTCCGATTGGGGAATTTTTTTTAAGTTTGTCTGGAAACAAATTATAAGCAACGACATTTCGGCAGAAGCCTGTGCCCTTAGCTTCAATCAGCTTTCCATTCTACACAAAGACAGAGCCAGCCTCTCAGACATGGCATTCTTTAGGTCAACACATTTTACGACTCGCAAAGATAATTCTTTTACACTTATTCTACTCCGAAATCTCTGATATTTTATAACACCAGAAGAAAAAGTATATATATATATTTTTTAAGAAAATGGATAATTTCCTTACATAAATGCACCGACATCCAAATTACATTTCGGTTCGATTTATATTAAATAAATTATTTTTGGTAGAAGACGCATTCCTTCGTGAGTTACATCATCTCATGTTGAGCTACATATTTTCTGTAACCGTGTTAATGAAATGTGATAAAATGTTTCTTGAGTGTAGATAATACTGTTGGATGATGAAAGACGGTTTGTTTTCACTTTTAATTTTCAAATTGCAGGAATTCGTTGACAAACATGAATGTTCATAAATTGCTGATGTCGACTTGTGTCATCAAGAACCTGCCGAATGCAAGCGATTACGCCTACAAACACAGAGACAAATTAATGGAGGAGAAACGTAAAAAAATGTTGTATTCGACAAATCAGTAGTTTGCAGTTGATTACAACCACGACGAACACATTAATTTCAATTACTTTCCCTATGAAAATAATGTAGAAAACTAGGAATTGATGTACGAGCTACAAAAAAATATATAAGAAAATTATTGTTTGCAGCAAAGAATTAAAAATTATTTATCCTCGTTATTTTCTGCTCAAGAAATTAATTATTTTACAGACTTTTAATTTTATCTAAAATGTTACCATCCATCCACACACAGCAGTTTCAACTTTCGTCTTGTCTTAAATAAATCCACTTGTGGCGACATGTTTCGAGTTATGAAACCGTCTTCATGGTATTAGGGGAAATTTAAATATTTTGATTCATGAACGTAATTTACAAAAACGTCATTACGAAAGCAACACACTGAATTTTGTATTTATTTCTGGTCTACGTGTGATATTTTAAAAAAAATTGCAAAATTACATTTGGCTGAGTTGCCCCGATATACCGGGTAATTGTGTCATGTCCCTGGGAAAGTAACAACCTTTTCAAATGCCATGAAGATACAGACGATGCTTTCAGATAACAGATGTATTTATTTATTCATTCGCGGTATTTTGTGAGATACTTTTAAGTATTTTAATGAATAAGTACAAAATATTACCACAAATACACAAAACTAAGACCCTTAATTTAGTTAAGATACATACAGAGTAATAGAAAACTGTGACAGCTGTAATCAAACGGGGAACTCACGGCATGTTTCCGAGACAAAATCAAATATACATTCAGCTTAACAGATCATAAGCCGCGCCTGAAAGCAGACTTTACGCCGTCTAACTGCCTGGTACCTGGACAATACCGCACCAGAAAGTGCCATTAACCAAGACACGTTATTTATTCTCGCCCGAGCCCATTGTGTTTCAAGACTGCAGATTCAGAAGAACAGACTTTCAAATTAACGAACAAGAACACAAAGCTACACTTTCCGTGCAATCTGTTAACTTTAAAACATAGAAGAGAGAGATCAGATTTTTCTTAACCACAAAGAAACGACGACAACTCAGCTCGAGACTGTTTCTATGATGTCACCAGAGATGGCAGTGCGAGCAGAGCGCGCTCATTTAAAATCTTTTGAAAGATAATTTGGGTGCCGTGATCCCCCCTTCTTATTTCCCCTGTTGTTAGACACTGAGTTTCTGATTATTTACAACGGATATTAGAAGCAATTTTAAGCATTTATTTCACCGCTTCCCTTTGGCTGAATGTAAAAGTACACGCAATATTCATATTATTTAAAAAAAAACAATGCGAAGTGGCGTAACATATCCTTGAAAACGCAATATTCATATTACTTGAAAAAAAATGCGAATTGGCGTAACATATATTTGAAGTGATTTAATATCGATTTTAGACAATCGGAACCCTAGTTTTCTTGGACAGTGACTTCAGAAGAAATTAAGGCCCTTAGAGTGTTTGAAAGAAGGATGATTAGAGAAGTCTGTGGTCCCATAAAAGATGGAGAAAGCTGGAAAACAAAACTAATAACGAGATAGAAGGTGTATTACAAGTAGCAGATATTGTTATTTAGTTAGTTAATTCCTTTTATTCCTCTGGGGAACATAGGGCTGATATAAAGCTCCTCCACCTCACTCGGTTGTTGGCGAGTGCCTTTATTTCCTTCCAACTTTTCCCCTGTGATCTTGCTTCCTTTTCAATAGATCTCCGCCATGTAATCCTCGGTCTTCCTCTTTTCCGTGCTCCTTGGGGGTTCCAGTCCAACACTTGCTTCGAAATGCCCTCGTCCTCTTCCATTCCTTTCCTTGATCTGTTGTTGTATTTTCGTTTGATGGGTAATTCTCCACAATTTTTCATTTGAAATATTTTCTGGCCATCTAATTCTTAGAAGAAGCCTTAGACATCTGTTGATATAACTTTGTAATTTTTGCATTAGTTCTTTAGTGACTTTTCAGATCTCACAGCCACATAATAGGACAGATTTTAGGTTAGTATTAAAAATTCTCAATTTGGTATTTAGAGAGAATGAGTTTGATTTCCAAACAGATTTCAACTGGGTAAAAAAAAGCTCCTTTTGCCTTTTTAATTCTGTTTATAATGTCTTTGTCTGTTCCACCTGTATTGGACACAGTGCTGCCAAGATAGCAAAACTGTTCCACTTTTTCTATTCTATGGTCTTCTATGGCTAGCCTGCTCACTTTTTTATTATTTAATCTCAATTCTTCAGTTTTCTCCCTGTTGATTCTTAGGCCATATCTTTTTCCTATTACATTCAGATCAGAGATTTTTGTTTGCATTTCTTTACAGCGTTGTGCTAATAAGCATATATCATCCGCAAAGTCCAAATCTTCTAATCTTTCTGTGAAAGTCCACTGGATCCCTCTTTTAGCACGTGAAGTTACATTTCGCATCACTTTGCCTATCACTAATGTGAACAACATGGGGATAGAATACATCCCTGTTTGACGCCTGCATTAACAGAGAAAGATTCTCAAAGTTTGCCACAATTTTCTACTTGATAGGTATTATCCTTATACATTTCCTTCACTATTTTAATAATTTTTTCTGGTATTCCATAACATTTCATTGTGCTCCATACTTCATCCCTTTTGACTGTATCAAAGGCTTTCTCAAAATCAATGAAAGTCATATATAGAGACGAGTGATATTCGAAAGATGTTCAATGATAATCCGAAGTGTATTGATTTGGCCAATACAAGATTTTCATTCTCTAAACCCGTCTTGTTCCTTTCGTAGTCTATCGTTGAAGGCTTTATTTATCTTTTCAGAATCGCCCTTGAGAAGATTTAAGGTTATTCCCCTCCAATTCTGGCAATATGACAAGTTTCCTTTCTTTGGTATTTTAATCATTAAGCCCTGTTTCCATTCTTGGGGCATCTCTTCTGTTTCCCATATCTTGTGAAACAGTGGTTGTAGCCTTGTTGCTGTAGGTCCTATATCTGCTTTTAAAACTTCTGCTGTGATTTTGTCAACGCCAGGAGCTTTTCCCATTTTAGTTTCTTTTAAAGCTGGCATTATTTCTTGTTTATTATCAATTCTTAATTCAGGCCATCTTGGATCTAGCTGTTCCTGTTCGAGATGGTTCTCTTCAACTTCCTCAACATTAAGTTGTTCCCTGAAATATTCTGCCCATCTTTCTGGTTGTTTATCTTCTGTTGCCACCAGGCTTCCATTTTTATCTCTGATAGACTTCTTATTATTTTGGTATTTTCCTGACAATTTCCTTGTTACTTCATATATTTCTTGCTGTCTTCATGGATATCTGCTTTCTCACCTTCTATCACGTCATTAACCCATGCTCTTTTATCTGCACGACAGCTCCTTTTTATTTCAATATTTTTAATAGAATAATCTATACTCAGATCTTTCAGTTTCTGTGGGTCTTGACAACTGATCAACTTTGCTGTAATATTTCTTCTATTTGTTCCCAATGTTGGTCTACTTGTGCGTTATCTAGGTTTTCTAAAATTTGATATCTATTTTTAATGGTGACTACAAATTGGTTTTCTCTTCTTTATTCAATTCAATTCCTTCAATTCTTTATTATTATTGTGCTGTATCAACAGCCAGAAGGAAGTTTATTAATATCATACCTTCTATGTCTATGCAAAATTCTTGATTTTACCGCTGCAACTCTCAGCCTAATATCTGCTACCATCAGGTAGTGGTCACTTCCCACATACGCACCTCTCTTATTCCTAACATCGAGGAGAGAACTCCTCCAAGTTCTACTTATTGCTAAGTGATCAATTTGATTTTTCACTTTCTTATCTGGTGACAACCAAGATATTTTATGACATCTCTTATGCAGAAAAAGGGATCCACCTATTACAAGGTTGTGGTTTCTGCAAAGTTCCGCTAAACGTTCTCCATTATTATTCATAATTCCTTCCCCTTGCTTACCCAAAACATGTTCCATTTCTTTATTATCTAATCAGAGATGCGCTGTTATCATTTCACGCAAAGACGGCATCAGCTCAGGAGAAGGCGCGAGTTGTTGTGTGGTTTTCTGAGTCCAAGTCCACTGTGAGGGTGCAAAGGGAGTTTCGTCGTGTTTATCAGATTGCAGTACCAGAAGCCAAGAGGATTAAAGCATGGCACAAGTTTCTGGAGACTGGGAGCGTCTTTAAAGGGCACGGAGGAGGCCGGCAACGTGTCTCTGATGAGAATGTAGAGAACGTCCGTGAAACGTTCATCCGAAGTCCAAGGAAGTCAATTCGTCGGACTTCACGGGAACTGCAGATGCCACGAGCAACTGTGCATAAGGTTCTCCGAAAGCGGTTGCGTCTCTATGCAGCGAGCTCTGAATGCAACATTTCCAGGCCGTTGGATAGGACGAGATGGATCAACGGATTGGCCCTCCACGTTCCCCTGATATCACACCGTTGGATTTCTTTCTGTGGGGCTACGAGAAGGACAGGATATACGCCACTAAACTGAGAGACCTCCGGGCCCGGATTGTGGAAGCTGTCGGTACAACCAATCCGGACAGGTTGCAGCGGACCTGGGCGGAACTCGATTACAGGCTAGATATCCTACGTTTCACCAACGGTGCTCACGTACAAGTGTATTGTTTCTTTTAAGTAAACTTGATGTGTTGTGTGACTGATATTTGTCAATAAATAGGCCATATCTCTATTCCTTACTTCCTGAGAATACGATAAAATTCGGGCGTTTCATTGTAGACACCCTGTTTATATATATATACAGTGAATGAGGCACGTTGTGCTTAGTAAAATGATATGGTTGTATACCACTTTCTGATATTTTTGATAAAGTTTGTACATATTAAAAAGTTAAGTTATAAAATATTATATATAGTTAAAACGTGAAAATAAAACGTATATGTTTTTAAAGAATTTCATAAACAAAATTTACTACGTGTTTGGTTTTGCAGATATAACTGTCTCTTATTTAGCAACATCTACATGAACCAAAGCTATTGGTATATGAAAAATGGGGCGCATGGCTTAGAAACACAGATTCTGATGAACAAGATTGTTTTACACTTAAAATTATTTGTTGTCAGGACTTTTTCCATCGTCGACGTAACACAAAGAAACAAACAGGGCAGAATCCCACACAGTACATTCTGTAGAGGAAAATTAGAGAATAAATGTTTACGAAGCTATTGACACATTGATCAGTCGTGTCATCTCGTTTCTCAAGCACTGTAAAATAAAAATAGAATGTTGAGAAATTTGACACGTGCAACAACACTCTTGAACAAACTTATAAACCAAGTAACCAGCTACAACCTTTTCGGTGGAACGATGTTTCTCAGCTGTCATTAATCGACGTCAGGAAAGACTGAATAACTTCTTTAATCAGGCCACTACATAGTTCAATGCAGTGGGTAGGAGAATACACTTTATACAGGGGAATATAGTTACATTACAAGTATTTGTTGTATATAAAATAAGAATTTCATTTTCCTCTGGCTGTTTATTGATAAATGACTATAACTTTGCATCTGTTAAAAAAACTGTACTACGTAACACAACAGCTGCATTATTATTGTCATTTAAACACCTGAGCACAATGGTGAGATATTTAGTGGAATTAGTTTTTTCGCGTTTCTTAATGACGTCACTCCTACACCAGGATTCACCAGTGAATTACAATTACCATTAATAACAGGCTTAGCTACAGAATCAGACTGTAACAGTCGGTAACCAGCCACGATCCAATTCAGTCCTGTACATCTCCGTTCTCTTACATACGATTACGATATTACTTCTTGGTCATACACAAAATATTGACGTCACTACAAATAAGAAATAAAAACCTAATAGTGACCTGTGATAATACAACCAACGAAGAAAAATACAAAGGACCAGAACATCATCAGAAAAATGAAGAATATAAATCATAAAAACAATAACAATCAGTAATTCATGTAATAAGTTTAAACTACATAACACCCGTTGATGGCTAAATTATAGCCGAAACTAGTCGTGTAAGTTCCAATGTAATCGAGTACTCGATAGGAACGTTAAATGATATTTTAATCTTTTAACAATATTATATTTGTGATTGACGGCAAAAGTTTTTAATAAATATTTTAATAATATATAATCACAATATGACGCATTTACAATATCAAATAATACGTCGAAGAGATTTAAAAGCGTTGTTTCCCACTTACGTGACAGAAAGTTAACCAAAGGTACTCTTACCATCTTAAATCTACCCACAGAACTGTTTGAAATAAATTTCGAACATTCGCTTTCCACGAAATAGCCATTATCCGTGAGTTAAACAGACGGTTTAGAGTCGCTGGCAGCAAAACCTTGAACCATCACTTCAATGGACTAAAAATCCGAACTGAAACTCAACTGACTACAGGAAGAACAGGTGGCCCCACTAAAGTAGCAACACTTGAACGATTCCGAGGTCAGTGAAAGTAATACATCTACTAGGGCTAAAGCTCCATCGGCCAGAGAACGGATGGTATTAGCCCGGTGTTGCGGTCTCATCAACATCGCCAGGTTCCAAGTTAGTCAAATGACGACCGTTCGTTACCGTTTCATATTCCTCATTCATTTTCTGAAGTTCCTTCTCCGCGAAAAAAAATCATAGGCTAAATCTAACACATTCCGAGATTTGTAAGGCTGGGACGGAAATCTGTTAATGTAGATGTATTACTCAACCTTGTAGACAGGTGGATCACTATCTTTCGTCACAGAAGAGAGGCAGAATTACTACCGGATAAATGTGTACAACAAAATCAGCCATATTGCATTGCGATGTTTGGCAGCAAGGTTATTGACCTCCTGGAGTGCTGCACGAGCTGTGAGAAGAACATAGCTCCCGATTATCTTGGCTGGTGAAAGGGAAAAGACGCACGAATAATCGAAAACAAACAGGTAATCAAAAATACCGAGAGCCTAGTTCACACGTGTCTGCTTTTCAAAAAAAAATTCTTGTACATGGAAAATCATGCTGTTACTTTATGGTGTACAATCCAGCAAACACAAACAGGACAATTAGGTCAGAGTAACTATTACTTTCCATTGTAATCAGGATATATCCAGTTCACTCCTAAATGTCGACATTGCATATGAGATTCATACGACAGTTTATCATAACAAATTTGGTTAAGTATGTCAACATTTTCTGGAAAGAACATAATGATGACTACTTTTCAAGTGCTTTAGTATATAAAAATAAGGTAAGTAAATTTACAAATTAATAATTATACAGGGTGTCCCATCGGATCCTTTACTGAAATAATAGTCTGAACTAAATGTCTTAAGCTTAATGTCGCTATGACAGTACACTGACAGCCTATCTCATCTACCAGCAGATGAGAGGTACCGGCTTGACTCCTGGAAGATTTCCTGATAAAGGCTTTCATGGGTTTCCTGTGTAAGACCATGTAAAAGTCATTACAGTATCTAAAATAGGTCATAACTTCATCTCACGTCCATCACAAACAGGGCTAATCATTATCAAACAACCTAGGCTATCACCAAATACTAAAAAACCATAACACTTAATACAGCACAATAAAATCACCAAATAACGAACTACAAACCTATTTTTCTGTAGAGTTGTAGATTACGAATAATGTAACACAACGTGAAATTGCTATCAAAGAAGCAAGTGATATGCCAGCAGTTTAACTTGAAACATCGAACTGTAGAGTTTCCTTTTATCGGACATGCATCCTGACATTCCGACATGACAAAGAGCGATGGATTTGTGTCTGCACGGTTGAGATAAAGAGTCTGTTTTACTCTCCTGATTTAACTTCACGTAGCAACAGAGTCTTCCTTGAGAAACTAAAATTCGTTCAAGGGGGTAAACAAACATGCCAATCTCGACTTTACGGAACTTGGATGCTCATCACCGTGTTCACAACAGCTCGGCACCGATCCCACGAAATCGAAACATAGTTCTTTGTGATCAATTTTAATATTATCCTCCAACGTATCCAATAAGTGTCCCAATCTATCTTGTCCCTTCAGGTTCACCAACTGAAATATTACATCAATTCCCAGTCTTTGTTATGCGTGCCGCACATCCGTCATTCTTCTTGATTTAATATCCCTAAGAATATATGGCGAATTAGACGGCGTATGAAACGCATACAACAGATCTGAAAGAGAGGACGCTACAATTAAATTTTAATTTCATGAACATCACAAACTGCAATGGTTCGCATGACATTTCAGTGCACAACTCCAGACAATCAAGCACGAGAAGTCAATGTTTACAGTAGCGAGAGCTTAGTACTCAATTCAGGAAGCTGTAAATCCCCACTGCTGCTGTGTTGAGGCGACATTCCGCGTGGTATGGAAGGAAGTAGCTCTTCTCGAGACACGAAACAGACAAAAAGGGTCAGGCAGCGTTAACATAAATGTGAATGATTAAGAGTTAAATTTTCAATTATAATTCTGGTTACTAAGCCTGAAAATATTGTTTACTCAAGAAATATATTAGATTTAATTTTTTAAACAGAAAGCAGATGAACATTTTGCATCATAATGCATGCACTGAAAACTTTATATCCAAAAGCAAATATTCAGATATCAGAAACCACTGCCTTGACATTAAGAGCTGGAGAGGTAATGATTTCTACACTGGGACGACCTTCCTTGCTGCTGCTACAGACACAGTCAACCGTCCCAGGCATCCATCAGGTTTAAAAGTGTGATGCACGTGGGTTTCACAATGTCTACGTCTAGCTCCCAGTCGGTATCACACAGAATGGTCATGACCTCATCCAAGTTCTCTGCAGGAATGACACTGTCCTCCCCATCAGCTGCTCGAATGCATAATATTCTATTATTTTCATACTATCAAACTGTTTGCCTTTAAAGGCATTTTAAATTCAGAGAACAAAACACCAGTTGTACACACGGTACTGAACTTCTGAGCGGTTATCAAATTGTCAAGACTCTTACATACGTGTAATTTGTTACGTAATTCAACTAATGAACTTAGGCTCTTTCGGTCGATTAGGGTCGGTAATCGGATGAGAATTAATTTCCTTCTTTCTGGCAGTCAGTTTAAGAACCTTAGAGCTGTAGCTGTCTCTTTCGTCACATTTGTCGTTTCTTGTAATTTTTTAAAAAATTTATTACGTAGTAACTATTACCATAATTAACATTTAAATATTTAAATATATTAAAATGATGTTCTCTATCGAAATGTTCGATTTACATTAGAACATCACTTTTTGTTCTAATGTAAATCGAACATTTCGATAGAAAACATCATTTTAATATATTTAAATATTTAAATGTTAATTATGGTAATATTTTAATATTTAATAGGAGTTTTATTGTGATTAGACTGACAAGATTTAAACAAATATATATTTATCACAATATGACGCAAATTTATCATCTTACATAGTAACTGTAAATCGTATTATAAAATGTACACAAGGTAAACAATAACATTTTTAGAAACTAAATTTTAGAATCCGTCCCGAAGTGGAAGGAGACTATTATTGTTTTATCCTATATACAATGTTTATCTGATTATTTTAAAGTAATCTACTATCTGGTAAGGTCATATGGTGTCGAAGATAGAGTGATTTAGTAGCCTACATATACGATAAACTATAAAGTTTACTTCCTAATATGTATTCTTTTCCGCAAGAAGATACAATTTTACTGTTATTGAAATGTTTACAATGGGGTTGGAAGTGATAAGCTTACTTATGGCTCCAATTTTTACTCTTATCAATGAACTGTCTTCGTCATAGTATCTGCCTTGACCGCGGGGGGTCAACCACGAGTTTCATCCCAGTCGACAGAACTGAGTATTCTGTGTGAGCAGATACTTTATCGTCCTTCTCAATTCTCTGTGGAAAGAAATATCAATTCGTAACGTAACCTTCATCAACGTCAGAGGTTAGTAACTTTTAACGCTATTAATGGGTACATTTAGAACGACTGGTAATTGATTTGTATTGGCGTTAACAAAATTGCTTAATCAAAGTTTTGTGAGCATCACTACGCTATTATATAAAGATACACATAAACCCACTGCTGTTTAAAAATAGTACATTTCTAATCAAGTTATAAAAAAATACGTATTCAGCGTCATGTTTTATGGCGATCAAATAAAGTAGGTTTAGATGTGTGAAAAGTTTGGGACACTAGAAATGCACGCAAAATCTGAAAGCGAAATCTAAAAGCGCAAGACTATTTGAGAGATTTAAGTGAAGATGAGAAGTTAAATAAATAGGTTTCAGCCAGAATTTAGGTTAGATTCGGAGGTAGGGTGAAGTTGTGGACTTTTGTGGAAATAGTAATGCAAGGGTTATATAAAATGATGAAATTTACTGACCAGGTGAGCGATTATCAGCGTCTTCATATTGTTAATGTTTTTAGTTGAGACACGTAAGTGTCCAGTATGTTTTGGTAATAACATTTCAGCATTTACTTTTTAGATTGCGCATGGCTATGATTTATGACTGCGCTGATAATGTTAGTATGCCTGCTAAAAAACCATACGATTCGTGTTTTTAAGAAGACAGTACAGTGTATCTACTGCCCTGTCCTCTTAGGGCAAGTGCCAAGCAACTTCAGTAATCTTCGCGTACTTTCTGTATGAGTATATTTTTATTTATGTATCAGCATGTTTTATTACAATCGCAGACAACAACTACTTATTCTAGAGTGTCATTAGTGTTATAAAAAAATTGTATTTAATAACATATTATAGTTTTGACTAGTTTATAATTTTCGTTATTTTCTGTCCATCTCGACAAGCATATAGCTAACATCTTACGAGTCATGATTCTTATAAGCTGGGTATAAACTGGGTGTCGTATTGAACAAAGCAAACAAGAGAAGAGGAAAGTGATTTTTAGGTTATCTCTGTTGGCAGAATATGGAAGCCGCGATAGATCGACATCTTGAATCGATCGTCGAATCTTCGCTACAGTTACAGCACACACAGCCCGAGAACATTAATTGCAATGTGGAGGTAAGTTACGTGTACAGTAAAATCATAAACGTAAGATTTGAGATTTTCACGGTGATGTAATGTCAATGATCTGGGTTGATGCGCCGTGTAGTATTGTGGTTCTGTATCGAGATATCAGGGCTGGCACACAGCCAAATAAATACATGACTCAACAACCTAATAATACATCCGAAGTCAGGAAAGTTAGAAACTTTGAACGGTAGGGAAACGTTGGAGATTACGTATATAACAAACGTAAACAATTAGGAGACACACAGATGCGTCTTAACAAACTGTATACACACCGTATTAAAAGCAAATACACTCATAATTCGATATTTTACACAATCGATCATGCCCGCTCATTTTCCTCTCGATTCATCGATTTAAATACATAACAAATAAATAAGTAATATGTAAGAATATGTAGAGACATAATACTCACATAACTAAAGTGTTTGGATACAGTTAAGTTCGCGTCTTAACACGACGCAAACTCATATGATCAAGATCGTGTTACGTTTGTTAAAATATTGCCACTTTGCAAAACGTTATCATTGTTTCCAGTCCACGAAATCTGTTCTGCCACTAACTGATTCCACAGAAAATTATTTGCCGGGTGGAAGTTCATTTAAAGATTACTGTTCAAGTATTATATTTCTATGGGCATTGTCCATAGTGTTATTTAAAATTACACTAATATAACATTTAGAATTTCTAAAATTGAAAATAAATTTTATCTAATGGTCCCCACGAAGTAGGCACATTTTTACCGGAAGGGGAAGAGTTATTCAGTTTCCGAAACGATAAATTTTACGATCGCTTTTTTGATTTTTTTATTATCTGTGCGATATTAAGCAGCAGACTACACTCGTGAAAGAAACTTTAGAATGGTAATTCAGACTCTGGTCAATTCTAAATTCTAACTTTTTCCAGGACAACGTTTGGCCGAAAATATTCATACATGAATATAAATCATCATTTGTTTTTTTTTCTGGTCTGAATATGACGTCATATGTTTCCAGGTTTACGTTCTAATGTGGCAGTTTGCTGTGCTCCTGGCGACAGTCTCCGCAGTAGCTCTGTCGGGGATTAACCCCGACATTAAGAAGCAACAAATTCAAGACGAAGAATTGCAGGCACAGAAATACTTAGATTATGTGGAAAACGAATTCAATAGACGAGCCAACAGAGCGTCACTGGTTAGGTGGGCGTATGCATCTAATATAACAGATGCGAATCTTAAGAACCAGGTAATTACTCCCATGTAGCAAAGTTATACTTCGAAAACTAACAGTTGCTTAGCTAGTCAAGAGAGTTCCGTCTGTTGTAAAACCTGAAGGTTCATTATCATATTCACAAGAGCCCTCCAGATGAATTCACTCCACGCATTCATGTCTTAATTTAAGAACCATTTTAATATTATCCTCCTACTACGCCTAGGTCTCGTAAGTGGACTTTTAAATTCGGTTTTCCGATTAAAATTTTGCATCTATTCCATGCCTATCTTACCCTCCGTGATATGATCACCCTATTAATATCTGATGTAGAATATAAGTTTTTGTCCAGAATTCTGTTGCTTTATTCCTTAGGGCCGAATGTTCTCTTTAGCGCCCTGTTCTAAAAAGCCCTCAGTGTATATATGAGGCTGATATGTCATCGTTGGTCTTCTGGGTTGTGGGTAACTATTTTCGATTGCACATGACATCACAACCCAGAGGACCCAGACCCAGGTTCAAGACCACACAAAAAAAATAGATAAAATTATGAGTTTGTGTGCTCTGATATTTACGTGTTTGGTTAGCAGACGGGAAGACAATAGTTTTTGAATTGAATCGTAGCAGGCACTCTCCGAATTTTATTTTACGATTAATCTAAGATTGTAGGTGAGCCAATGGAATCTGTTTGTTGCTTACAGATTTTCAGATAACAGTTAAATGTACGCATAAATCAGGAATCAGGACTCACATGCATTGAAGTCTTTGAGCACATGATTTAAGGCAATTTTTTGACGTACATACGTCTATGAGGAAGGGTCATTCGGCAAAAAAGGGGAACGAAAAAGTGTAACCTGGTTACCTAGGAAACGTTGTGTTTATAGAATGCTGGCCTTGTAATCCTGGGGTCTCGTGTTCGATTCCCGGCGGTGCCCGAATTTATATCTTGTGTTGGGCAAGGCCGTGGTCTAGGTAACACGGAGTTTTCCTCCGTGGCATCCCAACAATTACTCCATTCACACCCAGAAGAAGGCAATGGCAAACCACTTCTGGATCATCTGCCAAGAACGTATATGAACAGGTCCCAGTCCGAGAAAAGGATGGAAGGATCCTGTTCATATGGACCTGTCGTCAGACAGAACACTACAAATAAAATAACATTTAATTAATTTACATTACATTACTTTACATTGCAATACATCAATTTACATTACACTACATTATTTCCATTTATGGAAATTAGGAGGTTAAGACATCAATTGGGTGCATTTGGGATACTGGGACAAGTAATCAATGTTCCAGTAGATGTTAATAACATGGTAAGGCTACTACCTAGAGAATTGGACGATGATTATAGTTTCAACGTCCATATAAAGAGAAACTTTATTCACAAATCTACGCATCTGGTAGGAATAAAGAATAAAGGAATAAAGCCAATATATAAACTTCCTTACAGTATAGACGTATTTACGTCAAAATCTCCGGAACCCTGGTTCCACTGACAACTTTTTATTTTCCTAACTATATGCAGAATTCTGTAAGGAAATTTAAATTGTAAGCGAACGGGATTCTACGACCACCAATTCGAAAGTTAAATATAGAGCAATGGTGAATTATGATTAGCAGGGGAAATCTAAAAAGTATGAAAAATATCTGCTCCAGTATCACTTCGTCCACCACGAATATGATTTGTAATAATTCGGTATTCTGTTCTCCGCGGCGAGAAGCCAGACTCTGAAGTAGTTCAAATGAAAACGAAGATGGCTGTCTTCCTGGGTTATAGCGCCGTGTAGTCTGGTGGAATTCTACCACACTACACGGCGCTACAAGCCAGAAGACAGCAATATTCGTACTCACGCCGACATAACCTCAAATCCTTCAGAATTAAAACAATTTAGAAATTTAAAGAATGTATGTGAAGTAGAATTATAGTTGGGGGATCAGTTTTTTCGAGTGTATTAGGTAGGATTGAAAGCTAGTAATGGTAACGTTTCATTGTTTAATTTGCAGTTAGCTGTTATGGAAGAAGATGCCAAGTTCGTGAAAAAGAAATGGAAGGATACAATCAAATATCCTTGGACTACATTCAAGGACTACGATATTCGACGAAAGTTTAAGAAGCACTCAGTACTTGGCTACGCTGCTCTAGAAGGACCTAAACTTGGAAAGGTACCGACAAATATCGAAATTATCTTGACCAGAATAAGAATTACTTGTTCCTACTTGAGTTGTTTATCAGCCAAATCTTGCATCTGTCCTCTTGAAGATTTCTGTCTTGTGAGTTGTTGGCGCTGTGTAGTCTGGGCGATGTTTACCAACGTTTCTGAGGTTATACTGCCTCCGTCATCAGAGTATGAAGATTTCTGTCTTGTGAGTTGTTGGCGCTGTGTAGTCTGGGCGATGTTTACCAACGTTTCTGAGGTTATACTGCCTCCGTCATCAGAGTATGAAGATTTCTGTCTTGTGAGTTGTTGGCGCTGTGTAGTCTGGGCGATGTTTACCAACGTTTCTGAGGTTATACTGCCTCCGTCATCAGAGTATGAAGATTTCTGTCTTGTGAGTTGTTGGCGCTGTGTAGTCTGGGCGATGTTTACCAACGTTTCTGAGGTTATACTGCCTCCGTCATCAGAGTATGAAGATTTCTGTCTTGTGAGTTGTTGGCGCTGTGTAGTCTGGGCGATGTTTACCAACGTTTCTGAGGTTATACTGCCTCCGTCATCAGAGTATGAAGATTTCTGTCTTGTGAGTTGTTGGCGCTGTGTAGTCTGGGCGATGTTTACCAACGTTTCTGAGGTTATACTGCCTCCGTCATCAGAGTATGAAGATTTCTGTCTTGTGAGTTGTTGGCGCTGTGTAGTCTGGGCGATGTTTACCAACGTTTCTGAGGTTATACTGCCTCCGTCATCAGAGTATGAAGATTTCTGTCTTGTGAGTTGTTGGCGCTGTGTAGTCTGGGCGATGTTTACCAACGTTTCTGAGGTTATACTGCCTCCGTCATCAGAGTATGAAGATTTCTGTCTTGTGAGTTGTTGGCGCTGTGTAGTCTGGGCGATGTTTACCAACGTTTCTGAGGTTATACTGCCTCCGTCATCAGAGTATGAAGATTTCTGTCTTGTGAGTTGTTGGCGCTGTGTAGTCTGGGCGATGTTTACCAACGTTTCTGAGGTTATACTGCCTCCGTCATCAGAGTATGAAGATTTCTGTCTTGTGAGTTGTTGGCGCTGTGTAGTCTGGGCGATGTTTACCAACGTTTCTGAGGTTATACTGCCTCCGTCATCAGGGCGATTCATCGCGAATTTCGATCAGACTATTGGGGCATCACCCCTCAGAGAATACCTCTGATTGGCCAGCGTCTTTCAATTTAAACTCTGGTTAGCTGGGAACAAATGACGGTACTAAAATTCTCTCTTCGCCTATTTCTCTAACGCTTATCCGAGCTGTCATAAGGAGTTCAAATAAATGGCAGGTCACGACGCATGCGTGGTTTTGCTTGACTTTCTTGAGTATTGCCCAAGTTCGAAATAATAACCTTCCGAATACCAAGTTATCAACTACGCGTTCAGTGAGATGAAACTTGAAGTTGTGGCAATCTGAAGTGTAATGTAGACCAGTGGTATTCAACCTTTTTTGTTCGCGTACCCCCAGATATAATTTATCTTTGACTTTGTACTCCCAAAGTTGTTGGTGAATAATTCAAGTTATACATAGTATATAATCTACATCTAAAATAAATAACATTACTGATTATTCAGTGTTTATCATAAAAATAATATATATTTGTTTAAATTTCACGTACTCCCTAAGATGTCTTCGCGTACCCACTGATGTAGACAGTTTTGAAGCCAGAAACTGCAAAATTATTGCCTCCGCAGGTGTTCGAAACCTACATCTGTCTCTTCACTCAAGTTATTTCTCTAGTCAAGTAGATAAAAGGATATTTAAACTGGAAAATAATATACTATTTTTGTTATATTCACTATTGCATGTAGTCAAACCCGGACTCGAACCCAGTGCTCTGGACTGCTTGACTTCCATATGATGACCGCATATTAACCTATTTTCTATCCGCCCTTAGGAGTTGTTGATTCTTACATGAAAAATGTATGATTTTGTATGCGGTTTTAACATGTTACTGTGATTAGAATTTCTTAAAATCACAATTGTAATTTCATGGCATAGTTTACGGTAGAGTTTAACACGTCCTGTTCACTAGTGAAGTAAAGAAAAATCTGTTTTGATATTGAATCATTATGCCATTGTTTGGCCAATACAGAAACATACAGTGGATGACTCCTGAACAGTGTTCCTCAACACTTTTCTGATACCACTTACATCTCAGTAGTGTGGTTGATTGAAAGTAATTGATTAAAGGCAAATGGAATAAAAACAAACAGGTCTGTAATTCTAAAACGTTATTCCCGATTCTAAAGTTGTAAATATTTTAGTCTTATTACTGGAATTTTATTTCTTATGTTGCAGTATATGCAACTGGTGTCTGACATGTCCTCCATCTACAGCAAGGCGAAGATCTGTGACTACAAGAACCCCAAGAAATGTGATCTCAGTCTGGAACCAGGTCACATAACCTCAATGTGCTTTATTATTCCATACTATTCTTCCTGGTAAAGATTTTTGTTGCAACACAGATTTTGAATGTGGGAGGATACTCTGAGGCATAAACGTAATTATGAATTAAATCCGACCATGAAATTGTGGGAAGAATTTGTGCAGCTTACTTTTCTTACTAAAAGTTAATTGTTTGTTGGAATTAACCGGAAAATATTCCACCTTCACTACATTTGTACATATTTAATAATGTGCAAACGATAGTCATGCAGTTTACATTCAGAATGTCACACGTAGATACAGTGATTCATTATTTATCGCTTTAAACGAAAAGCTAAATATAGATTTCGCACTTCTGCCATGTTGTTGTTCTACAAGCTCAAGAGCTTAGACGCGACCTTCAGCCCCCTTCCCCTCCCAGCGGAGTGTCGTCTTTAATGGCATTCAGACGAGCGTAACGTATCTAGCACGTACAACGTTCAAGCGACTTCAACCAGAAATGCGAACGTAATCGAATATTCGAGAGTCTGTTGGAAATAACTAGGGACATCTGTTAGCCAATGGTGTAACTACGTCACAACACAGTGTTAAGGCATTCGACAAAAGGAGATTTGATTGAATAGGTCCTCAGGGAAGGATTTGAACCAGCTACCTATGGATATCAAAATGTTCCTTGAATGGGAGTATGTCCCGATACAGTGGACTTTCACTTTATTAATTAACTTTACATTCGTATATAAATTGCAGTGACTTTTCTCGACGAAGAAACAAAGCGGAAGGAAGCCAAGGTTTCAGTTTTGCCAACATTAAAACCGAACAGTTAATGTTAATTATTAAATTAATTGTTCTCAAATGTCTTAAAGAAAATACATCTAATCGAAATTCGAGTCCTCTTGAAAGCGTCATACTGAAAGACCATTTATGCGAGCAACGAAACTGATGTAAATAATATTACAATTTCAGTTTCAACCACAAATAAAACCCAACAAGTCTCCATTACATAGATCAACATTTCTGTAATCTTTGAACTATGATCTCAGTTATCCAAAAAGTTCTTAGGCAGACCTCATCGGACATGGCTTCGTGTCTGGAGCTGTTGTGACTATAGGATGATTGATGTTGAACAGATCTGGTGGAGATCCTGAGGACGAGCAGGGACCCCGAAGAGTTGAAACACGTATGGGTGGAATGGCGGAAGGCGTCGGGCGAGAAGTGCCGGGGGATGTTCGAGCACTACGTAGCTCTCAGCAACGAAGCGGCGACCCTCAACAGTGAGTACCGCCTGACGACAGGTCAGGTCCATATGAACAGGATCCTTCGATCCTTTTCTCGGACTGGGACCTTTCATATACGTTCTTGGCAGATGATTCAGAAGTGGTTTGCCATTGCCTTCTTCTGTGTGTGAATGGAGTAATTGTTGGGATGCCACGGAGAAACCGGGGAAGCCCCCGGAGGAAAACTCCGTGTTGCCTAGACCACGGCCTTGCCCAACACAAGTTATAAATTCGGGCACCTACTTATAGAAGGGAAATCTGTTCTAGACTTCACTGACACCGCCGAGTACTGGCTTAAGGATTACGAATCTCCTGACTTCAGAGACCAAGTGTCGCGTCTTTGGGACCAGGTGCAGCCTCTGTACCTCCAGATACACGCGTATGTGAGGAGGAAACTGCGAGAAACTTACGGCGAGAAACTCGTCACTCGTCGTGGACCCATACCAGCACATCTTCTAGGTAAGAACTGACAAGTTACAAGCATTTTGTTTATTCCTGGACCCATACCGGCACATCTTCTAGGTGAGATGTCAAGGGTTTGAGACTATCTCTTCATAGAGGCCGACCACAATAGAAAATATCGTATTATAATGCCGGAGCCGGTTTTATAAACGTCGTGGTTTAAAAATACTGGGTTGATGAATAACGCCAAAAGAATTAGTCATAAAGACGAAGAACTCACAAGCGTTGAGTGTTTTATTTAACTTTGCCGAGACAGGATTTCGTAATTCAGAAACATTATTTACAACGTTCCCCTGAGAGACAGGTAATTCAGTAGCCAATTCTGTAATTATAAATCTCTTGTTAGCCGTCCGGCTTCGTATTCAGAAAATTCTGGATTAGATTCAAGCTCCAAAGACTAGCAATTTATGAATTTCTTCGGTAAATCAAACTTTCTGTTCTGGGATGTTACACCGTTAAACTGGCAGATACTGACCGAACTTTCAGAGGAGCTTATGTTGTAACCAATAAATGTCTTTAAATATGAGGACCATCATAAACGTGATAGATCAGAAGACAACCATCTTCAGAATATATACATAACCGTGAATCTAAATGCTTTACAATGTTCTTTATCCCAAAGTCTTTGCCAATTTTTATAAATCTGATGTTTCTGTCTACAATATGAATAATACCTGTATAAAATATAAACAGTGCACGTAACTAGTCTTTGGTGGTTTTAGGTAATATATGGACTCAGTTATGGGGTAACATTCAGAGCATTTCTGCACCATATCCGGACAAATCTACCATCGACGTAACTTCAACCATGGTTAAACAGGTATGCTGCAATGTTAAAATATTATGTAATGCTATTATTTTCTGATGAATAGTTATATTATTTTAAAATAGAAACTTCACTTGAGAACAAGGATACGCTTTTCGTTAAATAATAATAATAATTAATAATAAATAATTGTTGCCAAACCTGCAACTGTTCTTTGCAATGCAAGATGATTTCAAATTATCAGTTAGCGTCTGTTGGCTGTACTTAAATCTTAATTTCTCATCAGTTATTTTACTGTAAACGTCTTTCATACTTTGCAATTAACCTTTTACTCCATTACTTAACTTCAGTGTGGGTTGTTTTGGCATTACTGCATGTAATTTGGTCTGTTGGTAATCGAAATTCATTTGTTCTCGGGCTCGTCTGTAAGCAAAAATTATTTCGAAACGGAACAGGGGCTTGCTGAAAATGTGACTGATTATGACATAAATCTAACTGCACGGTCAAACAATCGAAATTAGTACATTATTAGTTTAGTTTCAACTTTGGACAGTTACAATTACAACTGATCTATATACAGTTGTAAACATGAAAAGTGCAACATTTCTTCTGAGTCGAAATGTACGGAAATGAAAACAAAATGAAATTTAGTGGGTTTTGTAATAAAATTTAAAATACGTGCCACGTGAGTTTCCAAATCTTTCCACGAGAATCGCTACCCTTACAGTTAAAATGGCCGTATCAAGTAGATATCCTTATGCCTGTTTTGCAAGAAGAGGGTACCGATGGGATGCTGTTCCAACAAGACGGTTCATCTCCACATTTTCACAAAGAAGTGACGGATATTTTAAACAGCAAGGTTCAGCGATATGGATCGGCGGATGTGTGAACCTATCACATGACCACCTCGTTCTCCTGACCTTATTGCCGTTGATTTTTCTTTTTAGGGTACAAATTGAATACTACTTATTTAATTTCAAATTTAAATTACAATAAGAAGCATCTCGTGGTTCGAGCCGTGGCTACAATTTTACCTGGTCTACAAACAGTCGAGTTATAAAGGCCAAAAGCCCAAAGGTTTTGAACCAACGAAACAATTGTTTCACAATAATAATTTAATTCATTTATTTATGTGTTTACCAACAGCGAGAAGCCAATAATAGGCAAACACTGATAATACATATTAATAATAAAAAAATATTAATGAAAAATATTACAAATACAAGAAACAAACAGATTAACTATATATACATGTACAATATTAAAAATAACAGCCAAATACAGACAAACACAAAATAAAACACAATGTTTAAAAAAGAGAAATAAATGAATAAATATAAATAAAAGCAAATAATCCACCTAGGTGAACACTAATTTAAATGTAAAACGCTGATGAAATAGGACGAACAAAATAACAGCAAAAATTGAACTAAAAAATAATCAAACTATAAGTTGATATAATTGCGTCATATTGTGAATTAAAACTTTTAACTTTACACCTGAAGATGGTTCAATGTAACCGAAACATGTAGCAAAAAGTTGTACCAAATATGTAAATGATATTTTAATATCATATGTATAATTTTATTTATATACAATTGTGATTAGACGGAAAAAAACACGAATAATTAAATAATCAAGCTAGAAAATAGTATTAGTCAGGAAATAAGTTAGAACTTAATATATTACCAATCTGACACACAAATTTCTGTAACATCGAGTGTTATGATATCTGTTGCTTTCCGTCGATCAGGGTTACACTCCTCTGAAGATGTTTAAACTCGCGGAGGAATTCTTCATATCTCTCAATCTTAGTGCGATGCCAGAAACATTCTGGGAGAGATCCATTTTGGAGAAACCAATGGACAGAGACTTAATCTGCCACGCCTCGGCCTGGGACTTTCATGATGGCAAAGACTTCAGGTAGGCCCACAGTACATTGAATCGCTACCAAACGTGTGGAAATATTTATCCAAATCCAATCGTTCTACTTGCTTTGACAATCAATAATCCCCATGAACTTTCTGGACGCATAAAATTCAACTTCTTGCTTAGCTGAGCGTGCTGCTAGATTCTGAAGAATGAATCTACTAATTTGTATGAGCACTAAGAATGCGAAAGTGTAACAAATACATGAGGAAACTATATATTCCCTTCCCATGTTGTGTGTTCCTATAAACACGTCAGTATTTCGTTACCTTTTCGATCTATGAAAACTGCTCAGATTATGTAGCGTCTACTGAGAAATGAATTACAATTCGTGAAGGATCTCAGGAGGAAATAGTCGTGGCCTATTTATCAGCACTTGTCCGACGATACCGAGGAACAAGAGCCACGGTGGGCTAGTGGTTAGAACGCTGGGCTTGTAATCCTGGGGTCTCGGGTTCGAATTTATAACTTTTGTTGGGCAAGGCCGTGGTCTAGGCAACACGGCGTTTTCCTCCGTGGCATCCCAACAATTACTTCATTCACACACAGAAGAAGGCAATGGCAAACCACTTCTGGATCATCTGCCAAGAACGTATATGAACAGGTCCCAGTCCGAGAAAAGGATGGAAGGATCCTGTTCATATGGACCTGTCGTCAGACAGAACACTAAATAATAATAAAAAAAAGTATAACACTTCCAAGTCTCAATGTGTTGTTTACGCGAAAGAAAGGCATGCAGGGCTGGTAGTGTATGTCCGAATGTTTTAACTGTGCAACCGATGGATGTTTATAAAATTTGGCATTGATTTACGCCTCCGAATGCTACCCCAAACTTGTACCTCTAAATTTCCTACACTCAGAAATTTCAACATGGCAGACCACGAAATTACGAGAAGGAGAGGAATTATTGACATGAAATGTAGGGTCCTGAGGTGATGATGTACGTTAACAGATATTCGAAAAACTGTCAGATTTTTTTTAAATGTAAAGCAACAACCAGCGGTTGCATAATATTCAGTTTGTATTTATATTTCGGTTGGATGACGATAATTAAGGCATCACTGAAGCTAAGCATGTGAATTTTGATGTGGGATAGATCATAAACATAGACGTACCTTATAAATGTCATCTTAAATATAGTTTATAAATCAACAGTTATAAACATAGAACCGATGCGATTCTTTGAAGTCATGTGAGAGAAATTTAAACTAATTTAATTTTTACATCGTCTGCTGCGTTAATGTGGTCGTAGTTCTCATATCATGACCGTTTGCAGTGTGCTAAGCGCTTATTAAAATCACCCCATCCGTCTGCCTTTAAACCGATTTTAATTAAATTTTGTACTGGGAAATTATAAAGCCATTTAAATTTTCATTTAGATCGGAAAATTTTAACCACCTCTTTACATGAAGGCATAATATTTTCTTGATATGATCATAAAACATAAGGTATTTATCACTAAAATAATGTAGAATATCCCAAAAAAATATGAAAAATAACAAAAGATAGTCTGCACTAAATTCATAATTCGTTGAAATCCAATTTGTTTTATTATATTACTTCAGTGCTCTATTTCAATGAAATTTCCATCACAAGCTTAGACCTATGTTACTTAAACAAGTCATGGAATTTATTTTTATCATCGTACATGGCATAAAATGTCTATTCATTCACCTAATCGAGTATATTTTTGACTCGTCTATAATTTGAATAAGTATAAATTAACAATTAGTTGCGTGGAAATTTAACATTTCTTTATTATAACAGAAGATTTCGTCATTGTTATAATTATTCAGTTATAAATGATGGATCTTCTCAAAGTGAACAAGTTTAGATTAAAAAGGCGCTGCTTTCAACACCTAGAAAAGAGGACGTCGAAAGAAATATATAAGAAAATGCTGTCAGATATAAACATTTAGACAACTAATTATAACTTCACTTACAGTTTTGGATCGCGGTTTTAAATCTTATTCGGAGCACTGAAGTAACCTGTTTTCTAATTCTTCTGTATTGCCTTCGTAGTTAAGGTACGCGAGGGTTCGATTCTTTGCCTTAGTCCTCAGAAACACTTCTGAACTGGAGGAGGCTAAAACGGATAACCCAGAATAGAATAATAATAATAATAATATTAAAATTAATATTGTACTCTGCAGGATCAAACAATGCACCAGGATTGTCACGGACGATCTTTTCACTGCCCACCACGAAATGGGGCACGTGCAGTATTTCATCCAGTACAAAGATCAACCAGTGGCTTACAAAGACGGAGCTAATCCAGGTAATGAAATAGGTATCAGGTAGTAATATAGTGATTTGGCCCAATAATTGACTGGAATATCGTCAGTTACAGAGACAATACGAGTACATTTCATTTATATATAATTTCCTGTCAATCGTACTTGAATTTTGTTAAGATATCAGGATTAAACACAACATGGAAATTTTACGTGCGAGTGTAAAAGTTTGTCCGTCAGCCAATATTGATTAGAGGTGTTTAGATAGAGTCTTGGGCCCGATAAAGAGCACGTAAAAGGAAGCTTGAGAAGTCTTAATGAGGAGATTCATAAGTTGTAATGTTCGCCAAATGCTGTTAAGTTAATCAAACTAAACAGTATGAAATTTGCGGAAAATATGACACAGATGCAGAATTTTAGTCTGATCGCTGAAAGCAGGAAATTACGTCGGAAACTTTAGCGTTGGTGAGGGGAGGATTTACATTAAAACTGATCAGAAATAAATGAGAACTGGATTCATATGGCTCAGGGTTTGGACCCCGGTAACGAGCCTTTTTGGTAATAAATGAGAACTGGATTCATATGGCTCAGGGTTTGGACCTCGGTAACGAGCCTTTTTGGTAAGAATAACAGGTGGACTTACATCGTTCCGTTAAGGCAGCTTAAGTGTATATAATTAGATAATTTCATTATATATTATTTCATGAGTAAACTTACAAAAAATAAATGCAAATGACGAAGATCTGCTTATGGAAAATCATGCAATCAGCTGTTGAATGGCAAATTTCTGTAGGGTTTCACGAAGCTGTTGGAGATGTGATAGCGCTGTCCGTTTTAACACCCAAACACCTGCGAGAGATCGGGTTGCTGGAAGGCGATGCATCAACTGGTGAAGATTACGAGGCTACCATTAATTATCTGTATCTGCAGGGACTGCAGAAAATAGTATTCATTCCTTTTGCGTATCTGATGGACTTGTGGAGATGGGACGTCTTCAAGGGACACATTACCAGCAAGAACTACAACTGTGAGTGGTGGAAACTCAGGTGTGTCCGTCAGAGTTACTTTTACACAGAAATTTTATTTTGTAACGGGATGCGATGTTCATTTATAAGCTGAGACTCTGTGTAGGATATCCTGCGAGCTGACAGAGACAGATTTTGATAATTAGTTTACTTGCAAGAATAATTATGATTTCAGGAACCTATTGAGTGCCAAAATTATGAAAATATAAATTATGTGTTCTATTCTTGTTGCGACAAACTTGAATTTTTAATGATAGTTTATTGGTTTATTATTAAGAAAAGTTCTGTAGTGAGACTTTTCGAACACATTCTTTGTTTAATCTTTCAATAATACCTACGCATCTTAACAAGAGGTTAAAGTTTCTAAAGTTTCCCTGCATATGTGCACAAACATATGCCTTTTACACAAATTGATTCAAAGCTCTACTATATTTTGGATCTCAGACATGTTAAACCTATTTTTATATAGGTCTAGAAGTCCAGATTTATGAATGTAGGACAGGCGAATAGAAAATCACGTGGTTCTAGGGATTTCTGATAAAGATATGGTATGAACGTGTAAGAATGTTCCCCGGACGTTGTTAATTTTCTATAGTGAATTTGCGATAGAAATATTTTAAAGTCTGGTCGTTTCCATCCTACACGAGAAAGATCTATCATCCATAACCCTGCAAATAAAATCCCAACTCCACACAAAGAGCAACGTCCAAGGAAAATCCTTACATCATGGCAAGTACAGTGCCATAATAAATATACGAAGGCACAGTTAAATAAACATATCGGAGTTCAACAGATGCATTCACAAAGTTTAGGAGTTCGTGTTCATTGGAGAATATGAACGTCATACATCCCTTCTGTCCAACGACAAACACGCATTCACAAATCCTAAGAACTGATCTGTTTTTCAGGCACAAGTATCAAGGAATTGATCCTCCAGTGGACAGAACGGAGGAAGATTTTGATCCAGGTGCAAAGTTCCACATAATAGCCAACGTTCCATACATCAGGTGACTACTTAACATTCTTCTAAAATTTGTTGACCGAAGCGCGCACGAATTTCG